CTTTCGTGGGCTTGTTTAAATTTTCTTCTGCTTCAACCTGATCTTGCATATGAACAATTGGTAGTCTTTTCCACAGTTAACCCCTGGTCTTGTTTTGGCTGATTCTCCATGGACTCTTTCCGTAGATATAGTTGATTTGATTTCTGTGTATTCCATCTGATAAGGTCCATATGTATAGTTGCTATTTACGTTGTTGAAAAAGGTAATTGAAATGAATGGGTGGTAGGTGTTTTGCAAAATATATCAGCATAATTGATTGCCAAAATAGTTTCTATTGCCAAGGCCATATTTTCCAACTTTGTGCTTTCCAACCTGAGGGCTCATCTTCCAGCAGTACATCAGTGCTCCTCTGCTATTAATAAGATGTCAATGGCTAACCATTCAGAAGTGGTCTGCCTCTCCTTCCTAGTCTGTCTTAGTCTGGAAACTCCGCTGAAACTTACCCACCATGGATGACCCTCCTGGTATTTAAAATATGAGTGGCATAGTTACCAGCATCACAACAACACGCAAGTCACTACGGTTGTTAAGTGCCCCTCCTCAAAAACCCTATGCAGGGTCACTATGAGTCAAAACCAACTGAACGGCACTTAGCAACAAACAGCACACACCACCACCACTCATGGGTCAGTTTGTTGTACTGTGGTGGCTTGCGTGTTGCTGTGATACTGAAACCTTGTGGTTGGCAGTCCAGTGCTTATCCTGTAGCACCACACCAGGACTCCATGTTATGCTGTCCATATTTTCAACACTAATAAGAAAATAAGAAACCTTTCTTCTCCCTTTTTTAGCCTAATCTTGACTAATTTTTATAGTCTACATTTTTTATTTCAGTTTTTCTGTATCAGATTTCTTCTCATTATGTTTAGCTTTTTACCATAACTAAAACTAATCTCAACAGTCCATATGTTTGAGCACTTTTTACACCCTTTCTTACTGATAGTTCTGCTACTATTTGGAAAAGTTGAATAGCTGCCTTTTCTTGACACTCTCTCCTCTTGTTGCTTCAGTGACAATGTTTTTACGTGGTTTGACATTGAAATCTCTGGCCATAAGATCTTCTAATAGCCCATGAAATCTTGAGGTTTCCAACATTTGTTATGAAACATTGTTTTTTCCCCTGAGTTTTCCAGATACCTCTTCTAGTTCTCATCCTCTCTCTGGGCATTTCTACCCCACCTTGACAACTTTAAATAGTAACTCTAAACTCCTCTCTTCTGGACTCCACATTCTTGCCTGCCTATTCAGCTTACCCATCTATAAAATAAATATTATGGTGTTTGACTTACTTCATGGAAAAATTACTAATAAAATATTGTACATAGTAGATGGTGGAAGTATTTTGAAAGTCAAAATGTGCTGTACAATTGAATGCAGTCTCCTTTAGCTATGGTTAGAGTTTATAGTAGATTAATTATATTGACATCAGTATTGGTTGTTTGGTTGGTTATGGGCCATGGAGTCGGTTCCAACTCTAAACAACCTTTTATAGGGTTTCTGAAGCTGTACATTTGTACAGGAGCAGAAAGCCTCATCTTTCTCCCACAGAACAGCTGGTAGTTTTGAACTGCTGACCTTAAGGCTAGGAGCCCAACTTGTAACCACTACGCTACCAGAGTTCCTTGGCATTGGTATTAGTACTGTGTAATCTAAGTCCAATAGTTTTATGGAATTTTTTTTTTTATTGAATCATGAAAAATTGTTTTTAAAATTTGTGTAATTGTTGTTGGTAAGTGCTGTCGAGTCAGCTCTGAGTGATAGCGACCCTGTATTGGGTTTCTGAGGAGCTTGAACCACTGACCTTGCAGTTAAAACCGACATTGCAGTCTAGTGCATTAACCTGTAGCACCATGCCAGGACACCTGGTTATTTCAGGTTTGTTGTTGTTGTTGTTGTTAGGTGCCATTGAGTCGGTACTGACTCATGGAGACCTTATGCACAGCAGAATGAAACACTGCCTGAACCTGGGCCAACCTCACTATCATTGCCACACTTGAGTCCATCGATGGTGGTTAATTATAGCATTCTAAAATATTTTATATCTTCAAGCTAGAAACATTATTGGTGATGAAATTATAGTTATTTTATAACTTTTAAAATGTTGGTGAGTCCAGCTTCCAGGAATAGTGGACCAAGTAAACCAGACTAGCATTTCCCTTGGGTGCAGCTACAAAATATGGACAAATACATTTTTTAGACCTTTTTTTAATTAAATGTTTTATTGTAAATTATGTGATAGTTTACATGGAGAACATTAGCTTTATGTTCATCCTATTGTATATCGTTTCATTGCCATGGTTACAATGCCTTCCATGCATCATCAACCAACCAGACGGTATACACTACAAGCCTGCCCCTTGGTCGTCAGCACACAGCCCCTCTCCCTCTCTGGGTCTAGAGTTCCCAGCTGCTCTATCTCTACACGTCATCATCTCTGCCTCCATCTCTGGCATCACTGTTTCTCTGGGTAGGGTCCCGCACTCCGTGCTCTTCTCCCTTGATGGTCCCAGGGTCCTCTGCTCCTGGTCTGCAAGATCAACCACTCTCCTCCTTTTGCTACAAAACATCTATCCTTACATTTCCAACCTTCACAGTCAGTCCTGATAGTAATTATTCACTATTGTACCACATGAATGCTATTCACAACTCCTTTCATCAGCCCCGCCCAGACAGATTGGATACTACTCAGTGGAGATTCTACCTTCTTCTGCCCCTGCTGGATCTACGCTCCTTCTTGAAAGCTTGAAAGCCAGTCACTACTTGCCTTTGCTGTTTTTCCCTCACTTCCCCTTATCGGTGACCAACATGGTCACCAGTTAGAGCATGTATCTGCTTGTGTATTTCCAATGAGTCTCAGTCTTAGAAGGAGTTTACCCTGAAGGGACCCGACCACTTGCCTTGATGTCTCCTGGGTGAGCAACTTGCTTGTTCTTATAGTAGTTATTGAAAGATTCACTGGGCAAATTATTGAATGATGCAGAATGCGTCAAGAAAAGATGGAAGGAATA